AAAATGGGGAAGTGACTGAGCATTTTATTTAAGGTTAGAACATCAGTAATCTCCTCATGTATTTCTAATATGATAATTTGTCATCGTTACCAAACTTTGTCTCTAACTATATAATTGGTAAAATTCATTTAATACTTCTGAAAGTTTATGAGCAAGACAATTCGGGGGGATTCAGTTTTTCTCTGAAGAACTAATTTTTTGGCAACTTTAATCTGTAGGAAAGAGTTAATCATTTGTGGGCATCTCCAAAATGGAATGTAGATACACAATGCTAACAGTGCCACGTGTCTCTTTCTTTCCCCGTAAACTGTTCATATCATCAAAATTGAGCATTTGATGAATGCTGAAGGAAGTTTTGATCAAAAAGTCAGATTAGTGTTCTGATACAGTGCAGTAGAATAATAGATGGGGACTTGTTACGGTAGCAAATTACTATAAGTTCTCACTTGCATTCTGTTTACTGTTGTGTTTATCTAAAGCAGACTTTGAAATGTATTTACAAGGGTTAGTGTGTTAGGAAGGATGTTTACTCCATATCTTTAACAATTAGGGTCATTTTTTTAGTTATTTGGGAGGAAAATACTGAATGCATTATGTTGATATGGAAAGAGTATATTTAATAGACTTATTCTTGTCAAATAAAAACTGGCTCAAAAATGCCCTGTTTGCTAAAAGAAGAGAGAGAAAAAAAAAAAAGACAAACTTGAGAACTTGTTTAATGAATTTAATGATGGAAGAAAGACTCCAAGTCATTGTGACTTAGAATAGTAGCAAGTTATTATGTGCGCTTGAATAGAAGTCTTATTTTAAATGTTGCCTGAAACACACGGTATAGATCAATGCTGAAAAATCTAAGTTTTGAAGAGAAGGGCTTGGCATTTAATGGAGGGCCCTCATAGATAATGCTTGTTCACTATTGTTCTTAGTTCCTGGTACCCCATGGTTAACCTAAGTTGTAGGCAATGAATAAGGGCCTCTTGAGTCTGATACCTTTATTTATTATTTTTTTAGGTTAAAAAAGTTAGGTAATGTATTAATCTATTTTGATTATTTCAACTAATTGTCACAAAATATTTCCATTCGCCAAATTTATAATAGGATAATGGAGTCTGATACCTTTATTTGTTTAACAGGAGTTGCTGATTTGCTGCCATGGCACCCTCGCAGCTCATTTTGTTGGTTTCCAGAGTTGTCGGTCAGCCAGAATGTGAGCTGAAGAAGCTAGCTTAGAATCCATCATTCTTCTTTATTGGTAATCAAGTTTTGTTATTGCTTGATCGAAGAAATATTGTCGGTAACTTGTGAAACCGATTAACCGCGACTTGTCTTGCATTTACCGTTGAAAAAATAAAGTATATAGTTACGGTGATTTAGTATAATTGAGATTATTGCAGATTATTGAAACTGAATCTGATATACTGATTGAAATTGAATTTGATTTATTGATATAAAAATCGGTGTCATCAAGGTTCAAAGAATGTCATTAGAAGCAGGTTAAGACTTGAGGATTAAGAAATGTTTTTGGAGAAACATGTGTCTGGTCAGACTTTCAACCTGCATATGATTGATTTCTTTACTCCTCTACCATCTTTTCTATTCTACCTTAAAATTATTATTTTTTTTTTTTGGGAAAAATTTAAAAGCATCCTCCTATATTAGTATGGTATATTCAGTATTTAAAATTAATTTAAATATAAAAAAATTATATTATAATTATACATACCAATATAATTATCAAAATTTGAAAAAAAAAAGAACTATTAATTAAATTCAAAGTTAATCCAAATGGGAACTCAAAGATTGATATTCTCATATATCTCTACAAGGGTATATTTATATTCAAATATAACTATATATTTTTGCATAAGTTCTCGTTAAAAAATTATTATATCGTTAGTTCTTGTTGTTATTAGTACGTAGAAATTATTTAATTATTTAAATATATGAATTTTATAATGTTACAATTAAATTTTTTTTGCATGATTTAGACGAATCTATTAATTTAACCCTAAATTATAAGGTTAAATAAATAATAACTATGCAATCTTATCATCACAAAGGAAAAAAAATCTCTGGATCAAATAAGAAAATATAATTAATAATATAATTAAAAATAGTAACATATAATTTTTTTTTTTCACAGAGATTCTGTATCTACAATGTTCCAAATAGAATAGTTAGTGAATAATTAAGTTCAAAAGTAATAATTGTTTGTGCATGAATTATAATAATGAATTAAACTATATGATAAAATAGTAAGGTTCACATGTACCCATCATAATCATTCTTTGGGTCCATTTTCTAGGTTATTATATATTTTAAATGTAAATTTCATCTAAATTTTTAGTATATATACATATATATATATATACACATATGCTTATGTATATACATATCATATAAGATTAAGATGATCACATCAACTTGTTTTCAATAAAAAACCATCCCATCTATTAGTGTAATATATTTTTCAAGCATCCCAAACTCATGTTTATATCATTATCATTTGCTTTAATATTGATTAGCCAAATGGGTTAAACTTAAAGCAGAATAATTATATATATTTTTTTTATAAATTCATCTACAGGAAAACTATATATCTATATGTGTATGTACAGATAACTACCACTAAGAATCCAAACTAAAATTTTTTAAAAAATGATTTTTTTGTAGTTTATAAAACACAGACATGAATGTAAAAATGAATTTCTTGTTTCAACCCTAACACATTACAGTGAGCTGTAATTTGGTCAAAGATCATGTATGAATGTTAATGCAATCATCATCCTCCATGATCCATTCACCCAATTCTAACCTCTCCCTCATTCTTTCTTCCCTTTTGTACCTATCCTGCGTGTTAAGTGTTGAAAATGAAATAATATAAATTCACACATCCTCCTCAAATTCTGGTCTTCGTGGAAGCTAGCTAACGCAGGAATGAACCAGAACCCACCCACGATCTCGTCACCTCTCACCTCTCTGCTCTGTCTGTTGATTGGGTTTGATTGATTGGATGATTCAGAATTTCGGATCACCCGCATGACCGTTTCCATTTTTTCTATATTTGAACTTTCCACAACGAACTCGTCTCTTTTTTCCTTCACTTTCTCGCCTTTTCTTGGCTCTGTTTGCCTCGCTGGAAGCTTATCTCTTATGGGCATTTCCTATTCTTTTGTGGGTGTTTTAGTGCTTTTTGGTTCCCCTGTTGAGATTCTTTGACCTAAGACCCTAATTCCCATTTTTTAATTTCTCGGGCTTCTCTCATTTTTTGTTGTTTCTCGTTGAGAAAAAAACAGATTCTTTCTTCTGGGCCTTGTTTGATTTCTTTCTCTGCTTGTTCGTTTCTTATTTGTTTGTCAATTGTTTGTCATTGTTCTGCTTAGGTCTATTCTGTTTTAGTCTTCTTCTTCTTTTTCTTTTTGTTACTGGTTGATGGGCTGTTGTTGTTAATGTCCTTGGCGGCTGGTGTTGTGGATTCTTCAACTGTTCAAGTTCCAACAAAAGCATGCATGGGACTTGATAACGATGAGAAAAGTGAAGTTTCATGGGAGAAGACAGTGAAGACGCCGGAGGGAGAAGAGAACGTTGAGGAAGAAAGTAGTACTGGACATGGCATGAGCAGGAAAAACAGTGAGAGCTCTATTTGTCCAACGGAGGATGAAGAAGATGATGAAGAAAGGAAGCTTGATTTGGGTCCAAGGATTGCACTCAAGGAGCAACTTGAGAAAGATAAGGTTTGATTTGTTTTATTTTGCTTTGTTTTGTTTGTTATCTTCTTCTTTCTCTGAGTTTTTTTTTTTTTTTTCAATGACTATTCTTGTTTTGTGGTGATAATTTTTACGGGCTTAGGATGATGAAAGCTTGAGAAGGTGGAAAGAACAGCTTCTCGGGGCTGTGGATTTGGAGTCTGTTGGAGGTAATTATAGTAACTTGGTCTCCTGTAAATTTTGTTTGGTAGATAAGAAAGTGGAGAAAAGAGATCAAACTGTTGCAAATCCTATTTCTTTTAACTTTAGAGGCTCCATTTTCTAATTTTCTGTTCTTTTTATGGTTCTTATATTCATGTCTTCTCTATTTATCTGATTTTTTTTCTCAGATTAAGGGGTCTTACCTCATTATTTGATCTGGAACTGTATAGAAAAATTATTGACTTTCACAAATTTTACTTCTTCAGCATTTTACAGTTAAACCTTGGTTTTTATGAGCTATCATAATCACACAACAATCTGGCAGTTCTAGAGGCTTTCTTTTTCTCAATTTTCTGTCAATGATATTGATCGATCTGGGTGAACAATTGTCAATAATGTGTTTTGTGTGTGTGTGTGTGTATATATATATCTATTTAGATGGGTGCTGATGGATGATCCTTTTCTGGGTATATCTGTGTATGACATTTTCTTTTTCTTTGAAATAATGATGCAGAGACACTTGATCCAGAGGTTAAGGTTCTCTCCATTGCTATCATATCTCCGGGTCGAGAAGATATTGTTCTTTTGCTTCCTGAGAATGGAAATCCGAAAGGCACATGGTTTACCTTAAAAGAAGGTAGCCATTACAGCTTGAAGATCACTTTCCAGGTTAGCAATAACATTGTTTCTGGCCTCAAATTCAGTAACACCGTCTGGAAAACCGGTGTAAGAGGTGATCTTTCTTCAATCTTTTTGAGTTAATCTTCTTGAGTTATTTACAGTCCTTTTTAAGTTATGTGAATATAGTAAAATTTCTCACATATGAGTTCTTATAATAGTGGATAGCTCAAAAGAGATGCTTGGAACATTCAGTCCTCAAGCTGAGCCTTACACACATGAGATGCCTGAAGAAACAACCCCATCTGGGATTTTTGCTAGAGGATCTTATGCAGCTAGAATCAAGGTAAAGTCTTTCAGTTCCTTGATTTATTATCACGTAGTAAACGGTAATTTCCTCAATCAATCTCGAACTATCTGTTATATGATTTGCTCGTAGCTCGAGATAGAGTCTGTTACAATGTGATTGTTAGCCTTTGACATGGAAAAAGAAGTCCTAGTTTTCTCACCAGAAAACATTTGATACTACATTTGTTGGTGAATTTTTAAATGTGGGTCACTTCCTATTTCAGATTTTTGAATTGTATGCATATATATATATATATATACAAGTATATCAATGTATGTATGTGTTATGAATTCTAGATTATTTGTCTGTAAGAATATGATTGTTAACCTTTGAAATGGAAAAAAGTCCTAGTTTTCTCTCCAGAAAGCATTTGTTACTGCATTGGTTGGTGAATTGTTAAATGTGGGTCTCTTCCTATTTCAGATTTTTGAATTTTATGCACATATATATATGTATATATATACACGTATTTATCATGAATTCTATGTATTCATGACTGAGATGAGTACATAGAATTGCTTGAGGTCTCTCCCATTTGCAACTAGTTTTCCCCCCTTATCTGCAAGAATTTATTTGCTGATAGACAATCCAGTCAATCGCTTGTCAAGCTCCTGTATCATAAATAATACATGTGAAAACATTAATCTGTAGGGCCAATTGAATGTTTTGAACAATACCCTTCTCTGTAATCTTTCATTCTTTACGTACGTGTTCTTATCACGGATTTGCAAAATTCTATGTTCCATCGAGTGTATCATGCTTCCGCGCTTATATTATGTTGCATAGTAATTTTCATGCAATAATCACCTAATTTTTTATTATTATAGAACAGTTTATCACATAAAATTGCTAATTACTATAAAATGTTCGAAAATTATATCGAACATGATGCCTACGGGGCATTATAGTAGGACCCACGAATGTCGATTAGTTTGATATAAAATTACCATAAGAACCTTCTGTTACCTGGATCTAGAAAAAGAAAATCTTCATATCTTTTTTTTTTTTCTCTCTTCTGTTTTCAGCTTGTTGATGATGACAAGAAGTGCTACTTGGAGATCAATTACACCTTCGAAATCCGTAAAGATTGGAGTCAATGAATCGAAAACTTCCAATTTCAGCTTCGTTTCGTGGGTTTGCTCCGAGTCGATCCATTTCCAACTTGAAGCATTCCTTCCTATTCCAACATAATTTGATTTAAATTGTCGTTTATCTGGTATATTGTCCGAGACTTGTTATTTTATCTACCTATACAACAAAGTAAAAGAAAAAAAGAAAAAAAAAAAAGAAGTTTCTTCCTGTTGATTTGGCTAAAATGAAGCTTGGACAT